CTTGGAAATACCTCAACTGGTTACTGTAATATAATATATGTACAGTGGACTTGAGTTGATGGTTCCTCATGTAAGACCATTTGTGGGTCGCACTCTGCTTATAAATTCATTATCTGAACTGTCATTTTTAAAGTCCATTTAAGGATATTGTTGAAAAAAAGTCAGCCCGACCGGAAACCACTGAGGCATCTATGTTTGATCAAATAAATAGACGAACACATCGTTAACGATTTGGCTGAAATGATCACCATGTAATCAAAAAGTTGAAGTACCTATTTATGAAACTTGCCTTTTTTTATGCATGCAGGGAGTACAAGTTGACAGGATGGAAACTGATATAACATATGAGGAGACCAGAATCTCACCTAGTTTTACGCAAGATTTAGAGAGTGAGAAATTCTCTATTTTGCTTCGACAGCAAAAATATTTAGGAAATTTGACAGAACGCTCTCTTCAGAAAAATCAGCCTTTAATTATATCAAATTTGATGCATGAGAAGATCTCTTTGCTAACAGCTGAAGATCTTAATGGTATTCTTAAGCTCGAACAGATGTGCTTGCAAGCTCTTAGTATGCACGTATTTCCTGGCAGTTCACCTGTGGAGATATCAGTTGATGGCTTACCAGAAGAAGACCAAGAAGTTTGCCTTTCAAATGGCACGCCCTGTGTTAAATCAATTTCCTCTGTGACTGTTATACCAGAATTGGATTTGCCTACAATAGTAAGTAGTGTATACATCTTGAATCAGAAACCTTTGTGCGAGGTTTCAATTTTACACGAGCTGTTTCATTAGTACTGCATCCAATTTAAACTTAGTGACAGTATGAACCATAAATAGGGAGAGCGTTTGCTTCATAAATATTTTGCTTTGCTATGAATTTCTTTCTTGTTGACAGTGCCAATAGTTGGCTGCTAAGAATATTATAATCTTGCAATTTTCAGGTGTCTGCCATTCAGTCATGCTCACAGGGCATCAATAAAGTGTTACAAACTTTGCAGAAAAAGTTCCCAGATATGTCGAAGTCTCAGTTAAGGAATAAAGTGCGTGAGATATCAGATTTTGCAGATAACCGTTGGCAGGTTAATGACTCATAATTTGGTTAATTGCCATTACCCCACTGCCCCACACACGCACATACACACGCACGCACACGCACACACACAAACACACACACACACACAAACACACACACACACACACACACACACTCAAGTCTTGAATATTTGAAATCTCAGAGTTTGTCAGGTTAATGACTCATAACTTGGTTAATTGCCATTACCCCACCGCCCCCCTCTCCCCAACACACACACACACACACACACAAGTCTTGAATAATTGAAATCTCAGAGTTTGGCAGGTTAATGACTCATAACTTGGTTAATTGCCATTACCCCACCGCCCCCCCTCTCTCTCTCTCTCTCTCTCACACACACACACACACACACACACTCAAGTCTTGAATATTTGAAATCTCAGAGTTTGGTCACTCAGGAGTAGAGATGTAAAATGGTTTGTGCGGCCATCTGCGTGATATTTCAATTAGGCACAATTGTTTATGGAATTTTTATGTGCCTGTGCCCTCTGGTGCTCGATTGTGTTGAGCTTAGGCCCAGAACAAGCATTCACTAGTGTTGTGTCTTAAAAACGGGGCTCATGTTCATCCTGTAATGTAGGTGAAGAAAGAAATTTTGGACAAAGTTGGCTTGTCAATATCTCCTGGTATGTTTGACCTGACCATCCTCAAATTACCATAATGAATCTGGTTCTTTAAGACTAATATTCCTTTGTGATTAACAGAAAAGAGAGCTGGGCAGACCAAGAGTATTGCTGCATTTTTCTCGAAAAGGTGCTTGCCGCCTACTGGTAAATGTTTCAATCCTAATGAAAAGTCACCTCAGCCAGCTGTGAAGCCAGGTTGTTTTGGACAAGGGCAGCAGAGTTGCACATATGAACGCCCGTAGGTTGCTGTTTCGTTTTGTTTTTTCTTTTTGTAATATATGGAATGGATGTATGAGCTGTTTTTTCGGTCAATAGCATAGCATGTATCGGCTGCAGATACCCAGATTGTCCCAATCCAAATCCCATAGAGGTTTGGTGTAAACTTACTTTTTTGTTTCAGAAAGTAAAACGGATTCAATAGGCTAGGAATTTCTACTTCTGCTGCTTGCTTGATATCTAACTATCATTTTACGATTACGAAGACTGACTGACTGACTGACTGACTGACTGACTGACTATGAATTGGATACAAAGTATGCCTTTATTAAGAGCAGCAATTAGTTGTTGAAATAAACATCTACACGTGACTTTTTAACGTAAATTGGCTTTTGGCTTTTGGGAAAGTATCTTGAGTCATTTGCATTTATATATATGGGTACGTTATTGGTGGAAAAGCTTTGACAAGAAACATTCAGGATTTTGTCTGTAGTTATATATATTATATGGGGGTGGATCTGTGGCGCTATATTTTTTACACAAGTTTTGACATAAATTTTCAACCATTAGATTAGAATGGATTGAAGGGTTGAGATTATGTTTCATTAATTACTTAAATTAAATTAAATCTCTAATGGCAAGTAAATTTCATTTTTATTTATTAATTATGATAATCCCGAAAATCACTCAATTATCTTTCCCCCTTTTGTTTTCTTATCATGATCTTCTCAATTAACCTGTGAAACCTCACCATTACCTTCTCCTTGCCATTGTCATCTACACCAACCGAGCATTCTTCCACGACATAGAAAATCTGTCTCAAGCTACCAATATTGAAGAGAAAATAAGATATTAATATTTAACCAAAAAGAAAAAAGCCCAGATTTGTTGCAATATTTCTTCCCTACCGTTTGGTTGATCTAACTCTCTCTCTCTCTCTCTCTTTTTTTTTTTTTTTCTAACATCTTAATGGCTTACAAGCTTTTATTCATTATGATTAATAATAACATTAAAAAATATATGGCAAAAGACAATTTGCTGTGCAGTTCATTGTGTGTGTGTGGATGGGGTGTTATCCCCAAGCCTTTACTTCGAGAGTCATAATCCATGTATAATTGTAACAACCCAAAAACTAAGCAATAAAAAAAAGCCAAAAACAAAGTTAGGGATAGAGAAGAAAGAGAATCAGAAACCTGTAAAGCTTTTAGAAGAAAGAGGAGGATGGGAAAGTCATTAACTGAAGAATTCTAGAGGACACGAAGTAGGAAGATTTTATAAAACATTGATTGAGACAATAGAGAAATAAGAAAGAGAAAGTTAATTAATAATTATTTTTCTTAAAAATATATAATTAGTTTAGTTAATCTTAGCTATTCAATCCATTTCAATCTAATAGTTGAAAATTTGTGTAAAAAATATAGTGCCACAGATCCGCCCCTATACATATATATATATATTATGGTTGAAAATTATTCAAAACTGCTCTTATTCACCAAATATTTTTTAAATACATTTACTTTATTTTAAAGGGACATACATAAAACAAAAATGAAATATAAGGCACAAAAATAAAAGCTTATTGACATTCACCCGAGAGAGCTAATTAGACAATTAAAACTGAAGGAAAATACAGGTGGGAGATTGGTTTATTTATTGGACGTCCTTGCCCTTGTTCATAATTCATGCTGGGGCTGTGCGGGGTGGTGGGTACACACCCAACCCCCAACCTGAAGTTTGGCTTGATTGATTGTCGAAACTAAAGGAGTAGGGGGATATCTCACACACACATAACTATAATGTCGTGGGGATTTGAACTTGAGACCTCTGTTGGCCTAACACATGCTTTTAAATGTCATTAATTGGGGAACTTGGTTCTTTGGTTGGTACACTGTTTAGTATTTACTACAACCATCCATGTCTATCACCATGAAAATTTCTGCTTACTTGTCTTTTGTTGTTATAGTTTCGCTCCTTAAAATAATTTTGTTTACGAAGAGACAGAAATAAAAGAAAAGAATTACTAAAAAAAAACATCACATTGCATCTCATCTCATATTGGGATGTGACAACAAAACGCAAAGAATCAGAGGAGATGAATATTCACTATTCTATTCATTATGGGGTGTCACCTCACCTGGACTGGAGGATATGATATGAGGCTATTGTATTTGTATGCCAAGCTCTCTCCGCTGCAGCAACCAGCAACTAACGGATCCATGTAGGAATATTATTTCTTGATCTTGATCTTCTTTCTTGTTCTGGGTCCCACCCACCGCACCCATGAAAATGTAGTGGTGGCCGCTTCTGGCTCTCTCAGATTTTGTTTACGGAAAAAACACCACCTTAATTTACAAGCACGCATCTCCAAACCTTTCCAAGTCAAGGGGTAACCCTTCAAAGATTTACACTAATTAATTATTGTCAACAACCAAATTAAAACCCCCACACAGACACATAAACAAACACGGACACAGACATATATTTTATAAAACCAAAGGCTTCCTATAGTGAGCCTCGTATCAATCAACGGGAACATACTCGGTGGAGAAATGGAACTGAGAATTGCAACCTATATTCTTTCTAGGCTTTGTTTCCTGCACTGCCATGTTGTATTATTATTTGAGATTTTTATTTTATTTTTGGGGATAGATATTTGAGATCTACACTGTACAGAATATAAGACTAGATTTGGCTTGCGTTTCGGCAAGTCGCAAGAAAAAGCATAAACAATAAAAATGAAATAACCAAAGGAGCAACCAAACCAAACCGACCAAAAATCAAAGTGGCAAGTAACGTAATTAGGTTGGAAATGACTGGTCCTTATGGGAATACGGCAACTTTAATAATGAAGTTTCCGTCTCTCTCGCCAAGCATTTCCTCGTTTGGTTGCGGTTGTTCCTTTCTCATCTCTTCGTGTTGCCTTCTCCCTCTCTCTCCCACACCCACTTTATAAGAAATAAACACGTCATATAAGCTGAACTGAAACCAACTCAACAGCAAAGCAATTTTGCAAAGCTCTTTTGGATTCAAGAAAGAGAAAAAGAAAGAAAGCAAGCAAGCAGAAATGGCTCTGAGTCTCAATTCCATGATGACCTTCCCATCTCACAAACTCCCTTCTAAGTCCCACAATCTCAGATCTCCAAAAATCTTCATGGCCTCCACTCTTCACTCCTCCCCTAAGTGAGTTTCCATCTTTACTTTTGTTTTTTAAATAATTTTTGCGTGACTGATCATGTTTGGTTCTCTGTCCCTTCGCAAAAACTGCAAATGGGTATCTTCAAGAATGATTTTTTAGCCATTCTGTTGATCTGAATTTTTTAAAATTAAAATCTTTTATGCTAATGCAGCTGAATATGGGGTTAATTTCTTAAACTCTATGCGTTGTTTTAGAAAAAAATAAAGAAAGAAAAACTCTTCTGTTTCTTATTTTTCTGATGGTGTTTTTTGAATTTTGGGGTTTGTTTTTTTAAATAAATCTCATTCAGATTGTATTTTGAGAAATGTTATGTGGTTATTGAGATCGGTGAAACATAATTGAAATCATGTTTTCTTATTCTGTCCTCTCCCTGCATTTAGCTTTGCAAGTTGCATGATGCTCTATTATGTAGATATAATTCATGGGCACTTCTTTGATGGGATCAGGTTGTAAGCTAGTTTCTTCTTGTTTATTATTATTTTGGATTTTTCTTTTAACTGTATGCATGTATATATGTTCAATCCTTGCTGGGGAAACATACAAAAGAACTTCCAATGATGATTCAATGTTATTTTTTAATCCTATTTTAGTTTCTTTTTCTTAAAGAGAATTATTTTATGCTTTTATTCCTATTGAATTTTATCTGTGTTGATCTAGCGGGTAAGATTTTGAAAGTGATACGGTGATTTTCTTTTTGTTCTTTTCAATCTGAATTCTGAAGGTGTGCTTGTGCTGTCTGTGTAACTATTTCTCACATTTGTTGAGAGGTAGGTCTGATTTCTTGGGTTTGTACTTTCTTTTGGAACTAGGTTCCGTAGGTGGACTAGTTTCATTTATTTATCGTATTATTTAATAATATGTGATTTCATATACAAAGATTGATGTCCTGTTGTCCCCTGAGCCTTCATTTTCTGGCAGTTTGATGTTTTATATTTTCTCCAATACTTAAATTATTTTTTTATTTCTGTGTTTGAGTAATTATTGTATCCACCCCGGATATTCAACTTGTATGATTGACAATTGTCACTCTAGTTGGATACTCGGTCTCTTTTTCCAATTAAGTTCAGCTACTTTCGTTTGTTTAATGTTTGAGTCTTTGCACTATACTTTTTACTTTTTTCTGTTCTTTTTTTCAATTGTATATATTTTCATGGATTGGTGCAATGTAGGTAGTCAGCTCCTTGTATGAATTTCTTAAACTCTATTTCTCTCTCCGTCTTTAGGTTCAAGAGTTCTGCTAAACAATTATCACATGCACCTGAATTAATTATCATAGTCTATTATTCATATAATGCAATATTATTCAAGTATATTTTTCCCTGGTTTCTCATTTATCAAATGTGTAAGCGTCATATTTTTTGGCATGTTTAATAGTATTTTGATTGTCATTTGCATTGGTATACATGAAATCTCCTTTGTCATGTTTTAAAGTTTTCTCCTGTGTCTTATTAGATGAGCATACTTTTAAAAGCAAAATGCTCTCTTTCTCTCTCTCTCTCTCTCCCCAAAAGTTGGTATTCGTATTCTTTTGCTTGTTTCTTATTTTCATTATCTATTCGTATGCTTCTTGTATATGTACGTTTTCTCCCTCACCTATATAGAATTGTATATAGGTGAAATATGAGGTTTCCTAGGAATACTTATCTAATTGTAATGTAACTTGAAGTATGTTATTTGGGGAATTAGAAAGCTTTCGTAATGGTTGTTAGATTTATCATTTGAAGTATACCATTTTAATATCTTCTGTTTCTGCTTGTTATAGAGAGACCGAGAATCTGAAGAAGACTTATTGCCCTCCACGTGAGACACATGTTCAAGTGACTCATTCAATGCCTCCTGAACAGATTGAGATCTTCACATCATTAGAAGATTGGGCTGAGAATAACATCTTGGTGCACCTAAAGCCTGTTGAGAAGTGCTGGCAACCACAAGATTTTCTTCCACTCCCTGAGTCAGATGGATTCTATGAGCAAGTTAAGGAGCTGAGGGAAAGAGCAAAGGAAATTCCTGATGATTATTTTGTTGTGTTGGTTGGAGATATGATCACCGAAGAAGCCCTACCAACATACCAGACAATGCTTAATACCTTAGATGGAGTTCGGGATGAGACTGGTGCAAGCCTTACTTCCTGGGCAGTATGGACCAGGGCCTGGACTGCCGAAGAGAATAGGCATGGTGACCTTCTTCACAAGTATCTTTATCTCTCAGGAAGAGTAGATATGAGACAAATCGAGAAGACAATTCAGTATCTTATTGGATCAGGAATGGTGAGATCTTTTTTTATTCTCCCTCTTCTTTTTTTCTTTCTTTCAATTTTGGTTATTTCTGAACAATAATATCTTTGGGATACTTTTCTGAGTCCACACTTAAGAATTTTGGCGTTGTAGGAAAGCTTTTGAAATTATACTAATCATAAAGGATGCTAACTGCTGGACTAGGGTGCGATGTAATTGTTATCTTCTTTTTTCTCTTTTTCCTTTTTTTCTTTTTTTCTTTTTTTCTTTTACGTCATTCCCCTTGACTACAGATTAAGAAGCTTAAGACCTTTTAGCTGGTCATAAGTATGGGAAAGACAAGAACCAGTTATATAATGTTAAAAAGTACATCATGATCTTAAATTTTCTATGTCATTTCCGTTTCTGGAAGTCTCCCTTTATGATCATATCTCCATAATTCTAGTTACTCAGAGAACATCTGCATGTCAATTAGAGTGGAATTTCAGTCTAGTTTATGCCTGATTCACTGCTATATGACATACACACTTGAAACATAGCTGCACCCTCTTCTCTCCTTATATATATATTTTTTATGATTATGATTATGATTATGATTAGATTCTAGTTTTCAATTATCTGTTCGTTTTTAGGATCCTAAAACAGAAAACAATCCCTACCTTGGGTTCATATATACTTCATTTCAAGAGAGGGCAACATTCATCTCCCATGGGAACACAGCCAGGCAAGCCAAAGAGCACGGGGACCTGAAATTGGCTCAGATATGTGGTACCATTGCCTCAGATGAAAAACGCCATGAAACTGCCTATACAAAAATTGTGGAAAAGCTCTTTGAGATTGATCCAGATGGCACTGTCTTGGCTTTAGCTGACATGATGAAGAAAAAAATATCAATGCCAGCCCATTTGATGTACGATGGCCAAGATGATAATCTTTTTGAACATTTCTCGGCTGTTGCCCAGCGGCTTGAAGTGTATACTGCTAGGGATTATGCAGATATTTTGGAGTTTTTGGTTGGAAGATGGAACATAGAGAAGTTGATGGGTCTTTCTGGCGAGGGACGTAGAGCACAAGATTTCGTGTGTGGATTGCCGCCAAGAATTAGAAGGTTGGAGGAGAGGGCTCAGGGAAGGGCGAAGCAAGCATCCACTGTTCCATTCAGCTGGATTTTTGGTAGAGATATAAAGGTATAAGTGCTGCTGCACGTGGTTAGCATTGGCCCCCATCTTATCTTGGCTCGTAGAGTAATAGATAGAATTTGCCAATCTACATTTTGGTCTTGTCATTATGATGCTCTCTTCTCTGTGTGAGATGGTTGGGAAGTTCTGTGTGATGAAGACTTTTGTAGATACTCTGTTTTCTTGTGTTGGTCTTGGGTCGAGTGAACTATAGTTGTTCGTACAAGTGTTTATGTTCAACCTAGAAACTAAAAAGAGTATCTTCCTTTTTCCTTTTAAAATGTGTTTCTGTAAGAGTACCTGCTGCTGCCAATGGTGAGCTTATCTAAAGTAATGGAAGGAATTATCCGTCAAAACATTTCTTTGTCAAGGAAGAATGCTTTTCCGGAAAGCAGACCCTTGTTTTATTGCAGAATCAACTCATGCTATCTATTATTTGAGCTTTGTGATTTAGATACTGCATATATTTGAAGTCCAGCATAATTTCTTGTTTGATTGCTTGCTTCATCTATTTCTTCGGCTAGTCGTAAAAGAGAATTCCAATTCTGACCCAATTATCACTACATATGTATGTTTGCGTTGCGTATCATCAATTTTAGGAACAAAACCCAACCCAAGAGAAGCATGCAAAAAGCAGTTGAAGATATGCAGCTCTAATCACAACTAGATTACCACAATTGAGTCGGTTTTTAAAGTGAGTCCCAGATAAGCTTATGTATGTGATTAATTGGAATATCATCGGTATCTCTCTCTGTCAATCAAAATTCAAAATAGAGGCGCGGCCTAAAAGCTTAGACCGCCAAGATGTGACAGCTGCCACAACCCACCTATGAATATTGCATGCTTACCAGAGCAAACCATTATGGCCACACACTGAGGAGAAAGACTTGTATGAAACCAAGATATCACTATTTTGCCATATGAAGCCAATAACGTTATGATATGCGTGATAACTTAATCAGTTCATAATTGTATATTATTTTGAACATTTCTAACGTATGATTTTGTTATGTTTTTAAGTTAAACTTGTGCTTTTAATCTCTTTTGTGTTTATCATTCAATTCATTGAGCTTAAGGTAGAATTGATGGCTTTGAATAAGAAAAGATGCAAAATTGTGCAAAAACGTGCATACTGAGTTAACAATTCATTTCAACCTTAACACATTACTTTAACCTTGGATTGGCCAAAATGATATGTGGTTGGAAATATGATAATCTGAACTTCAAGATGAATGGCTCGAAGTCATCAGTTGCTTAAGAGAAGCCTAATCCGTGAGTCCATGAAGTTACTGGTCATGCTGACATAAGGATGAACTGATTGTTGCTTAGTCATGATGAGCTATGCATAAGCTATGGTTTCTGGTGAGATTTGTTGGTGAAGACTAACAACCAAATAAGAAAAGAAACTGATTTTCAATTACATTTGTGTGTTAGGCAAGATTGGTGAAGTGGGTGTTGTAGGTGAAAGCCATACTCAATTCAGATTTCTCACTTTCTTATCTTTATAAATACCACATCCATTCCATGCCAAAGAAAAATAGACATCCTGGGATTCACACTCCCACAATTCATCCATCCTTCATTCCATCCTCCACACTCCCATCATTCCCCAAACACATTGAGAAATCACCCTCAAACACTCCGGCAATCAACCCAAAGCTCTAAACAACCCCAAATAACCAAAACTGTCCCAACAAGCCTCTCTTCCATTTCCCTACGTATTTCATCTTTCTAGATATGGTGTCCAATGCTTCTCTACATCTTATGCTTCTCCAAGAGCTTCACCACGAGAACTTCATAAAAGGGGTTTTTTTTTACTCTTATTGCATTCGTTATGTTTTCTCATTTATGTTTAAGGTTCTTTCCTATTATGAGTAGCTAAATCTATAACTAGGGTTTCGATGTAATCTAACGTGAATATTTTGGGTTTATAAATTTCAGGTTTCAAGTTTAATTCATGATTCATGTTCTTATTCATTATGCTTACTTTCCTATATGCTAATCGGAATGCCTAGCTACCATTCAGATTTGTGTATCTTGGTTCGAATTAAGAGTAGACACTATATGCCTTAATTCTAATTGAATTATGAATAGGAAGAGTATGTATGAACATTCGACAACAAGGATTAGATACATGCTTGGTTGTTTAAAACATTCTTCTATGCTTAATGGGTTGCTAATGCTTAATTTAGGTTCGACAACAAGAATATAATTAGGGAATTAGGAATACAAGGCTAGGACTAGACACCATAGCTTAATCATACTTTAGTTACAATCAATCTTTGAATATGAATTAGACTTGTCACTTGAATTGGATTGTTATGGTAAATCGAATACCCTAGTCTCCAAGTCTGTTTTGTGACACCCCGACCTAATTTGAGTGATTTATTTAATTCATTTAAACTATTTAATTGTGAAATTACAATTTTGCCCTTGAGGTATGGTCATTTTGGTCACTTTTTAATTTGGTAGAATTTTGGGGAATTGAATAGAACCGTTGTGTAGACCTTGTCGATATGAGTTCGTTGACACATAGTGGGCTCAAATCGAAGTTTTAACGAAGAAATTACAGTCAACGGAAGTGTAGTGGCATAAATGTAAATATTTCAAAGTTGAATTTTTAAATAACTAGATCAGCTTTTCTCTCTCTTCCTCACTCATCCTCGACCCTCTCTCCTCCGTCTATACAGCCAGAACTTCTGGCATTGATTCCGGCTTCGTTCGACCACCGTTTCTGATGAAATGACTTGCAAAATCTTCCTCTCCTCCTCCTCTACCTAACCCATCCAATTTCTCTAATCGAAAACCAGCGTATCGCCGGCGAGAGCACAAGAAAACTCTGATTTTCTTCAAAATTTTCCAGTGTTGTTTCTGACTATTCCGACCACCATTTTGGTTGATCTAGGTATGTTTTCTCACCCTCTCAATGTGATCTAGTTGAGGGTTGGGTTGGTTAGGATCAATTTCGAAGTTTGAAGCTCAATCTAGAACCTAAGTTTTGACTGGTCTTTGGCTTGATTTTTCGGCAAGTTTCGGCCAATTTTTGGCTGTGGTCCAAGAACAAAAGTTGCTCCCCTAGTTGTCACGAACACATAGGTATAGGTATTGTCTGGTGTTTTGAGAATTTTCTGGTCGCCGAAATTTTCTCAAGACACCCACGCTCTGCCGGAGCGTGGGAGATTTTTTGGAGGCCCATTCTATGTCGTTTCGAGCATGATGGTATGCTCGGATTCGAATTTGGTTAGCGTTTGATGGTCAAACGAATTTGTGCATATTAGGTGATACCCGGGTTCGATATGTTAGGACCGTTGGATTGGCTCTATTTCCAGATATGTTGATCTAGGTACCTCTAGGATCGTGTAGGAACTCACATATCGAGAATCGAAGTCCTGGATACTCCGAATTAATGATTCAAAGATTTCGTAAAACGGTGACCATCCGATCGAGAGCGATTCGACTGCTCGATCAAGACCGAGCTCTCGAGATGTGTTAAATAGACTCTGTTGGACTTATAGGAACGTTCGGATTGGAAATCAAAGGTTGTGGGCCTCGCGGGCCCAAATGGTCAAATTCCGCGATCATGGTCAAACCGACCGTCAGGTGGTGACGAGACTTCTAGAATGGGCTGAACTCATGATTAAGGACAACTACGAACCCAGTTGACTTAAATCGTGGGCTATGTTGGCTCGGTTGAGGCCATTTAGTAGTTGAAATTGTAATTGGAGGTTTGTTTTAAAATGGTATTATGCATAAAGAGTTTTATTAAATGTTTATGAATTACTGCAATCGCTTTTAGTTTCCAAGTATATTATATTATGTTTAATTTTGTGGAGTTGGGAATGGCTTGGTTAACTGGGTTTTATCGTGAATAAGGAATTAATTAAATGCCTAATTATATGTCTATATTTAAATATATGCTCGATAGCTTGAAATCAGTGAATTATGGATACTAGATCTCTCAATAGTATGTGGTACATATTTAAATGTAGATGAAAATAGTTTTGAAAGATTATGTATGGTTAAATTCAATTAAGGAATATTGGGATTGATCTCGTTTTAAAAAGGGATTTTAGATTATCTATTTAAGAACTTATTTTTGGAAAGTTGAGAAAAGATTTGGAAATGGATTTGTGGAATGAAAGAATTTTAAGATAAGTTTCAGAAAATGGTTTTGAAACCCACTACAGGAGTATCCCCCCAGTTGCCTTTGGAACAGTTTAGTCATTTATAATAATGTCCCATGAGTCTCGGGGACGCCTAAATCGTGTGGTGCGAGGATTTGCGTTCTCAGGTTGATTATATATTCCTTAGTTCTGCAAGGATATGTGTTCTCGCTGACTACGTGTCCCCCGAGTTCTGTGAGGATATCCATTCTTGGGTTGACCACGTGTCCCCCAAGTTCTGTGAATTGGCGGAATATAATTGGAATTGACAAAATATTAGTGGAATTGGCGGATTATGAATGGGGGTACGCCTAGGTGGAGAGTATTTGAGTTTTGAGATGTTTTAAACTAAAAATTGATGATTGTATCTTGGTACTTATTGGTGAAAGGTTTAATACATGTTTTCCGATTTAAGAGACAAAGATTGTGAGTTTTCTAAGTTTTAAGGATTTTATATAATCCAAAACTATTTTCGTAAGTGGCCCAAGTTAACCTAGGTGCAGCCGCAAAATAAACGGTTGAGTTATGCTTTAGAATTTGTGGCTATTTGTAAAGTAAGAAACAAATTCGTAGATTACGTTGACATTGCCCTGATAAGGTTGAATTCGAGGCTGGTGGCCTATCTGGTAATTGAGTGTGTTAGCATTGTGCATGTTGAAGTTGGGAAATATTAAACTATGATATTTACCGATGAAAATAATTTGGTAAATGTTCGATTTTCAGGGGAGACTCTGCCGGTTTTCCGGTAGAAGTCAAACCCTTAAGCAGTTTTTGGACTAGGGCAAGAAGGAGTTTGTGGACAATTGTGCCGATATTTGCCAAGTGTTGGACACACACAGAGTTCGACGCAGA